TAAGTGTATAACACTAATACTAGTACGTTTTTGATTTGAGTTCTCTCTCTATCACATTGATTGTCATAATGTGACGATCACGGCGTGTAACTTTATTAATATATATAAGTTTAAAAGTCATATGAGTATATATATTTGTGTGTGCGTAACAAATGTTTGGTCCTGGTGGACATTCGTCTTGAGCGGCAGTCGGAGTATATATTACATAGATTTAATAAATAAAAATAACGTGTAATAATAAAATAATTAGATTTTAATGGCTATTGCCATTAATCAATTAGTGGGAGAGTTTATGATAATGCCATTAAAACTAATGTAACATTTTAAAATATCCGATTCACTGATGATGTTATTGCTATTAATGTCCTTGCGTTTCAATAATTAATTATCTTCGTGTATAAAATAAGAATATAATAAATAGTAAATCAATGAAATATTGTAATATAAATTCACATTAGAAGAATTTCACTCCCTAACTATATAGAAATTTGATTTACATAATTATGATATTAATTTCATCCATAAATAGCTTTTGAAAATAAAAGTTTTTTTAAGAAGTTTTAACTTGTAACTCGAAATAACAATCACATAATAATAATAATAACAACATATAAATTCAAATTAAATTATCATGTCAAAACCAAAATTTAAGTGCTGTCCCATTTGATTAGTTAGTTACCGGTAACATAAGGATAACTACTACTTGAGTGTTGTGCAATTTGTGGTATTGATTGATTTTATAATTGCATTTGAATTTATTGTTATTTTAATTAATTATTTTAGCACAAGTTCCAGGTTTTTAACTTACAATAGACACATCTATTCGCTAATGGACAAATACAAATTTTCCAGTCTGGAAAATTTATAAACTGGTAATAAATGTCCCAACTTAACTCAAAAAAGTAAATAAGTAAAACAAAAGAATATTTTTCAGTTAATCAGCCTTTGTAACAATCCAGACGTTTAGAGGATATGATATGTTATCTATAATTGTTGATGACTTTTAGATAATCGTCACCATCGAACATTGATCGAATTCACCAAACCACTCCTATGTGACATGGGCCGAATATGAAAAATTAATTTTTATATACTTTTTTAAAATTTGCACCAAATACCATTATATCATTT